TTGTCAGTGCCCTATGATGTCTAAGATTTCCCCTTATAACCTTGCAAATTGCTTAGGATAAACTTCGTGTCATCTAAAAATCTATTATTATGCGCTTTCTGCGGCAATTACCTGCAAGAGCCAGAAAACATCGAGGAATTCGCATCATAATCATGGCATATAGAGGAAGTTGGAGTTGGAGAGGTCTCGTTATTCTGCGTTTGAGAAGCTCGTCATGACTGTACAGTGAAGGACCCAGCTCTGTGAAGCTTTTTCCAAGTACCGTGACTGTGCTCCTATTATCCTGAAGAAATTTGGGACAATAATAGGTAATACCGGATCTGGTCCGAATGTGTGTCAATGTTCAGTGGGAGATGATTTTTAAATTCTATGAGACCCTTCATTGACATGAGTGCTGGCAGAGGGATGGAAGTAATTGCTCCGACGTTAGTAGAGAGATGTGGCTATAGCATTGCAAGAAGCGGTATAGTTTGCAAGAAGTGGTTTGGAAATGTGCAATGCAAGGGGAATTGCCTGATATTTAGACATATCAGCGCGCGGTTTATAAAAATTTTACAGAACATCCTGCAATACTATCCATTCGAAATTACGCACCTCAGCCGTTACTTAATGCTGGTTTTCCCTACAATTTCTTGGTCGAATGAAAGTAAGCAATGCATAACCATGGAAACCATGGCTTAAATTGCGCCGAAGCCTAGCGAAGCCCTGCTCCTGTATTATTCAGTTTTTGAGATAAAGCAAAATTTTACCTGGCGCACACCGGAGCCATAAGCAAGAAAGCTCCTGGAACATTTTATGTAACTAAACCACAATTTCAGCAGAAAAATTCTTTTGATCTCATTTTTTTTTTTTTTTTTTTTTTTTTTTTTTTTTTTTAAATAATAAGTAAGCTTTAAGGATCAATTCTCTAACTAATGCACGGCCAGGCTGCCTAAGAAATTTTACTCGTATGAACGCCGTAAATATTGGTAGCACATTTTCTATTATTTACAGCTTGAGAAATTTAATTGCAGTTAAATTTCTTAAGCTGTAAATAATAGAAAAATTATAAAAAAGCTCTAAATAATAAAAAATAGTCATTATTTTAAAATATAGACTTTTGGATAAAATGTTAAGCATTATTGTAAATTATTTATTGTTATTAGACTGAATATATGAACGTTCAAAAAAGACATAAACATGTACAATGCAGTAAGAACGTCTGTTGTGATATGTAGGTTTTGTTTAAAAATAAGTTATGTGCATGTGCATGCCTAATAAGTTACCAAGGTATTTTATCTTTCAAAAAATGTTCGTTGCTTTTATAAAAAAAAAAAAACGCTTTACGATTAATTTAAATACAGAACAAGTAACGAGATATAGACCAAGTCTGTATTTCATTTATATTTATATTCAATTTATAATTTGTATATTAAATCAGTTTTCTTCTCTTCTAGGAATCAGATGTTCTCAGAACAAAGTTTGTGTAACAAAAGTAGAATTACTTTGGTTATATTGTATACTGAAGCAAATATTACATAAGAAAAAAAAAAACATATATATAATGCTATAAATTTAAATTCATTTAAAGAGTATAAAACATAACTGACAAAATTTTAACATGAATTACTATAAGATGGCGAGTCAAATGAAAGTGAGCCAATGCGAATATATGACAGAGTACTTTATTTAAAGGTAGTCTCCATGAACATTGAGACATTTATCCCATTGACAAATGAGCCGCGTGATCCCCGTCTCATAAAACTCCTTGGGCTGTCGATTCAAAAAGTCTGTAACCGACTCCTTCACGGCGTCGTCCGACACGAATCTGGTAGCCTTGAGATGTTTTTCAGTTTCCCGAAAATGTGAAAGTCGCATGGCGACAAATCTGGGCTGTGTGGAAGATGTTGCAGCGTGTCCCACTTGAACTTTGCCAGTTGTGTCTTAACCACATCAGCGACGTGGGGACGAGCATTGTCGTGTAGCAAGATCACACCATTCGTCAATCTTCCAGGTTGTTTGTTCTTGATTGCGACACGCAGCCGATCCAGCGTTGCACAATATCGCGAACTATTGATAGTCTCTCCACGTTTAGCAAATTCAATCAGTAATGGCCCCTGACGATCGAAAAAAAAAAGTCAATAGCACCTTTCCCGAGGAAATGACAGCCTTTGCTTTCTTCGGGGGTGGTGAATTCAAATGTTTCCACTGTAAGCTTTGCCGGCGTGTTTCAGGTTCGTAGTGGTGGCACCATGATTCGTCTCCGGTCACAATTGCAGACAAGAAGTCGTCACCCTCATTGTGATACCGGATGAGATGAGTCAAAGCAGCGCCGAACCTCTCCGTCTTCTGGCGGTCGTTCAAAATCTTGGGCATCCATTGAGCACACAAAAGCCGATAACCGAGATGATCATGAATTATGGTGTGAACCGAACCGTGACTGATGTTCACACGCTCTGCCAGTTCATCGATGCTTATCCTCCGTTCTTGTCTAATCAGCTCATCAACCTGTGCAATTGTGTCGGGGGTGATTGCAAGGTGGCTTTGGCCCGGTCTTGGATCGTCTTTGCAACTTTCACGTCCTTCTCTGAACCGTTTGCTCCAACGCTTCACAGTGGCCAATGCGATGCAATGTTCACCGTACACAGCAGTCATACAGCGACTAATTTCATGCTGGGAAACACATTCAGCTGTCAAAAACCTGACCACACCACGCTGTTCCTCTTTTGGAGCGTCCATTATGTCACGCTACCGTCTTCAACCCAGTGTAAGAGCGCCTTAAAGAACTTTAACCTCACACTTTCGCGCCACTTTCGTAAATGAAGGCTGTCTCTGTGCTACGCGCATGCGCCGCAGATGATGGACCGAACCATTCTTGCTGAGGAGGGGTTGGCTCACTTTCATTTGACTCGCCCTTATATATTTATATACTTTTTGTGTGGCCGATTGCAACCAAAAGGGGAGGTGTACAACTACATGTTATAGCAATCCTATATACAAGATTTCAACGTTCTGAGGCTACTCGTTTTTGAGTTATGTGCAGACCTACATACGTACGTACCCACAGACGTCACGAAAAAATCTCATCTGAATCCATTTTAAATCAACTTTATAATCCATTTGGGGGAAAAGAATCCTTTATTATATCCTTACGTACAGATGTGACGCAAAAACATCGTTAGAAGCAAAACTGTGCTAAGAGAATCGGTAATCCTGAGTCCGACGCTATACTATTCTTAAAAGTCAATGGTTATTAACTATACGCAGTTTTATTCTTATGTATCACACGTCTTAAAAAGTTTCAAAGCATTTGATTTTGCATTATACTTCCTGTAGTAGCAAACATTTTGTATGATACCGATCATAAGTTTGAAATTAGTGTGAGGTTTAATATGTATTATTGCAGAGATTGGAAAATCGCAAATAAAATTCCAAAGGTGATAATGGATGAATACTTGTTATTTTATAAAAATATTTCCAATGTATTTGTAATGTTAATACGAGGCACGTCCAGAAAGTAAGTTCCGTTTCAATTTATCTCCGCTGCAGCTCTGCGATCGCAGTTCCGCACATGCGCAGTAGACGCTCTGTATCAAGGAGAAGAAACGCGCGCCATTTGGAGATCGCTGTCAGTCACGTACGCTTTGTTGTGCTTGTTTACAATGTCGGTGTTGATTGAAAATCCCGCCTCTTGTGAAATTAAATCTGTGATTCGTTTTCTGAATGCGAGGAAAGTGAAACCTAGTAAAATGTATCGGCAAATTTGCGATGTTTACGGACCAAAGCGATGAGTGATTCAATGGTGAGAAGATGGGTCCGAAAGTTCAGTGACGGACGTAGTGATGTGAACGATGAAGAACGAAGTGGGCGTCCATCTTTGGTTACAGAAGAACTGGTTCACGCGATTGATGACAAGATCCATGAAAACCGAAGGTTTACAATTAGTGCTCTCGCTATAGAATTTCCCCAAATTTCACGATCACTAATGCATGAAATCGTTACCGAAAAACTGAAATTTCGTGAACTTGCTCACGTTGGGTACCAAAGATTCTTACTGAGCAACACAAAACAAAACGGATGGGTAGTGCATTTCAGTTTTTGACCCGTTATGCTGAAAGCGGCGAAGAATTTCTGACACAGATAGTCACAGGAGATGAAACTTGGGTTTCTTACGACACCCCTGAAAGTAAGCGGCAATCAATGGAATGGAGGCACACTTCATCCCCAGCAAAGGTTAAGCCGAAGCAAATTTTGACACCTCGAAAAATGATGTGCACAGTGTTCTGGGACTGGAAAGGCATCTTACTCATTGATTTCTTACCGCGTGGTCAAACAATCAGAGCAGATGCTTATTGCGAGACACTTCGGAAATTGCGCCGCGCAATACAGAATAAGCGCCGAGGATTGCTGTCAAAAGGTGTTGTTTTCTTCACGACAACGCACGACCACACACTGCAAATGTGACGAAAAACCTTCTACAGGGAATTGGCTGGGACGTGTTTGAACATCCTCCGTACAGCCCTGACCTCGCTCCTAGCGACTTTCATCTGTTCTTACATCTTAAGTCTTTCCTTGGCGGTCAACACTTCAACAATGGCGACGAGCTGAAAGAAACTGTTTCCAACTGGGTGAAGACACAGGCGGCAAATTTCTATGAAGAAGGTATACAAAAACTTGTGCCACGCTATGACAAATGCCTGCAATATTTCGGCAGTTATGTAGGAAAGTAGTTTAAGAGTTGTTGAATTTTGTGCAATAAATAACTTTTCTGTAGCTGTACACAATTTACTTTTATTACCAAACGGAACTTACTTTCTGGACGTACATTGTATAATCTGCATTTTATTACATATATTTTTATGACGCAAGATCAATTAGTTTATCCTGTAACTATGAGAAGTTTAATGCTTTGAAAAAAGAATCTACCTAAGAAATGTAATTTCACAGATTTTTCACATTCCCTTCAGTTTATTCAATTTTAACCGAATGCATTATCTTATACTGGGAAAAAAAATCAATACCTTTCGATATCTGATGGCAAGAGACCGAGCCAACGAATTTCAGTAACAGCCAGGTTTTCAACATCGAAAGACATAGCCTTAAATGAGAGATACTTAGTTACATTTCTTCTACAATTTTTATTTATGCTAATAAGAAATCAATGAATAGTTTTTAAATTACATTTTCATTAAACAATTTCACTATAAAAAATGCTATCTTAAAAGTAAATGTTATACAGTAAAATAAAAATTTTTATGTACACTGTTTTTTTTTTTTTTTTGGTTTATTTCTAACATTAAATACAATTCACACACGTTTTAGAAATAAATTTCATTAATTAATTACTGTAATCACTCGTCTATTTTCTGATCTAGCGTTTTTAGTTTATGATTTTTGTAAAACTTTGAATTATGACAACATAACTTTATCTGCACAAAATGTAGACAGATGGGAAAGTACTTGGTGTAAACAAATAGTCTTCTTTGAAATGCAGAATAATATAAGAACCCTTGTTCGCAGTTGATTTTTAATATGTTATGTTTTTCATTTAAGTTTCCATCTCTAAAGGGTGTACACCGAATTTAGTTTTCACATAATCAATTTGAAGGGGGAGGAAAAAAATAGAGGAAATATGATATTGCTGAGTAAATTTGGTATTACTGAGAAAATATTTTTATTATATCAGAATTGAGATCTAATAGCCTGCACTTAATAGCTCTTATTCACTTTGTTTTTCTAAGTAGTAACGTAGATCCAAAAATTGAAACATTGCACATTTTTTTTTTTTATTTCTGTGCGGAGTTAATATTCTACCTTGATATAATTGACATGTTTAATGATATACTCATACATGTTCCAAGTTTTGATGTCAGATATGAAAGTCATTGTAAATGAAGGAGCCCACCATCGGCCGAGCGGTCGCTGGTGGGCTCCTTCAAGTCGCTGAACACTGGTAGTTCGGTCCGAGGTTCGAATCCCCGAACGGGCATGGTTGCATGGGTGTTTTCGTGGTTTTCCCCATGTGTAACGTGTATACGAGCCATTTTCCCTTAGAAAGTCCTCCACGAAGGCATCCCTTCCCTTAGGCAGATAGCCCTAGTGGGCTTTGCCATAATTAAATACACCACCACCGTTGTAAATGACTCTCTGAGAATAGAGTAAGAGTACTATACAAGTTTGAATTTTAAAATTAGGCAAAATTATGCTTTTACTTGATGCTAATTTTAAAATTAAGGATTGTGAATGCAATGGAAATTTTAAAATTAAGAAAAATATTTGTGATTTTGAAGCACAGAGACGCATTCCATATTTCTTCAAATTGCTATAAGCTGTTGCATAATTGGATATAAAATAGTTATCCGTCTAAAGTTAAATTTTGCCTAATTTTAAAACTCTATCATAATGCATTTTGTAAAGACACAGTATCTGATTAGAGGTTGTAATACACTTTTAAAAATTGCTGAATGAAATAGTTTAAATCAGCAATACATTCATTAGTAATAATAACAAAGCTAAATATTAAACTTTAAGATAGTGTTTTTCCCTTTTATTATATCCTTATTATCCCCCCCCCGAAAAAAAAAAGGCTTCTTTCAGAGGAAAAGCTTTGTAATTTAAATAAATCATATGTTAAGCTCAGCTATTCTGTAACTGTTTGAATGTGATGCATATTTCTTAATAGGTTGATGGTATTTTCAGAGCTTGTAGTATGTGGTAAAAGATTTATGATCAGGAAATGCATAAAATCTGGTAACGTTCCTAATTCTTCATTGAAAATCAAAATATTGCTTTTTAAAAAGCTAAAAAATTATTTATATACTATTTTCTTCCACTGCCAAAGAATAAGTTAACTAAGTGATCAATGATACAAATTTCGGGTACTTAAAATGTTTTTTATTGCATTTTATTCTAATTTTATCAAATGATGTTTGTAATTAATTTAGAATTACTTACACCATTAAAATTTTTCTGTTTAATTCCTGATAGAGTATCACGGTATTATAGTATCATTTCCCTTTCAAGATAAAGTTATAAAATTTGAAAATGATTCATACAGTATTGACTACTTCAGTAAGCTAATTATGTACTGTTATGGATCTATTTATTATGAGCTTATTTTAAAGTAAATCCTTATAGCAAAAGATGAAATGTAATTTAAGTAGTTTTCAGATAGTTTGAGAAATATTTTAAAGTTTTGCAATCTTAGGTCCCAATCACATTATGTTTCGGCTACGCGGGACTTGTCGTCGAAAGGGACAATTCTCAGAACCCGTGCAATTCCATCAAACACACGTAGCTAGGTTACCATTCTCACTTACTACAAAGACTTGAACGCCAAACAGTAATCGATTATCGCTCAGATTGGGATCACGTGATCCTTCAGAAACAGAACTTTCGTCTGATTGGTTGTCTCTACCCGGGACCCGAGACATTTTTCTATGAGGTTTGAAGAAATCCCGCGTAGCCGCAACATTGCTTCCGTAGCTAGGCGGAACTTCGCTTCACTCGGGGCTCTTTTTTCTAGGAATCCTCCCGTTTAAACCAGTGCTACCAGAATCTCGTTTCTCAGAAAAGTCCCGTTTAGCAGGGACTGTAGGCATATGTGATAGCCTCTTTAGTAGCACTCATTTGACGTGTATATTAATTGCTGCATTTTGTTCTAGTCAGTATCTAACTGGTGACCTTTCTAAAAGGTAATGAAATCGAAAAAATAATGTTAGCTGTTGCGGGTAGGCGAGAATATTTGCTGTTCGGTGTCCGTCGATAACATCGCGGCAAAAACATCGCGGACGAAAACGTCGCGGAGAAAACAACGCAAGGCGAAAACGTCGTGCTACAAAACATCGTGGGAGAAAACATCGCAAAGAGAAAACATCGCAGTTCTAAAACATCGTCGTCGAAAATAAAGCGGTCCAAAAACTTCGCAATTTAAAAACATAGTCGTCGAAAATATCGTGATAAAAAATAAAGTATCTACAAATCATCGCATGACGATAACATCGCAGACATGCTTTTTTCAGGCTTTAATAACTGTAAATGGATATTCCCATAATGATTCGTGAGCGCAAGAGGGTAAAGAAGGATAATTTTTACTTTCATATTTTATTAAATATACATTTTTGCTGAGAAAATAAAAAGGAAACTTAAGCATAGAAAATTAATGCAACTTATAGCACTTAATAGAATTTTAAATCGACATAGTTAACTAACAAAGACCATAATAAATTATTTTTTAATAAAGATTTTACAGGTAATTTTTCATAAAAAGTATAATCTATTAAGTTGCATTTAATTTTCTATGCTTAAGTTTCCTTCTTATTTTTTCAGCAAAAATTTATTAGTTAATAAAAAAATGTGAAAGTAAAAATTATCCTTCCTTACATCACTTGCGCTCACAAATCATTATGGGAATATCCATTTACAGTTATTAAAGCCTGAAAAAAGCATGTCTGCGATGTTATCGTCATGCGATGATTAATAGATACTTTATTTTTTACCACGATATTTTCGACGGCGATATTTTTAAACGGCGATATTTTTAAACTGCGAAGTTTTTGAACCGCTTTATTTTCGACGACGATGTTTTGTACCACGATGTTTTAGAACTGCGATGTTTCTCTTTGCGATGTTTTTTCCCACGATGTTTTGTAGGACGACGTTTTCGCCTTGCGTTGTTTTCTCCGCGACGATTTCGTCCGCGATGTTTTTGCCGCGATGTTTTCGGCTGTAACCTGCTGTTCCGCGGCTTGCTTTATCTTTTAATTTTATACGTTTTTATTTATTTTAATATTTTTCATCAATCTGTTTACTAAGTTTAAATAGAATAGTGCCGGGTGTCGAATTACAAATAACTTTTGAAAGTGTTAGATGTATTAATATATTTTGGCAAAATCCATCTAGTTTTTATAATTGTTAATATTCCCTTCATCTATATGCATTAGCATAAACTATTCTAATTAATTTTTTTCTAATTCAGATTTAAAAATGCAATATTTAGTATTACGTTTTAGTCACAGATAGTTTCATGCAATACATTTCTTAAACTGAATTTCTGGAAAAATACCGAAAGCATAATTTAACTTACCTTAGAACCATATCTGTAAGTGTTTAATATTTCAATGCCTGAAATTTTTAATATTTTAATTATCAAATTATCGTTACAGACACTAAAATCCAAAATAATAAATAAATAAATAAATAAATAAAAAGAGAGAGAGAGGAAGCTTCAAAATTTTACCGTAAGGATCAGCATCTACTAAACCAAGTATAGGAATTCTCAGTGTTTCCCAGAGTTTCCTCAGCATTTCTCTTGTATTAACATCTGGAAACCCTTTTCCCTAATTAAATAATATATTTTGTTACACTGCTTGTCAAATTTACTTTATTTAAAAATATTACTTGTATTGAAATCCTAGCAAAAACATAATAAATATTTCGTGGTCGGTGGAATGGAAATGGAATGGAAAATGGTCGGTGGAATGGAAATCCCTCAAATCAAATCAAAGATTGATAGGAAAGCTGTGTTTTGGCTGCTGTAGTTCTAGGAAAAAAGCCCACAGGAATAATACTCACAGAATAATGCTCACAGGTATAAATGCTCACAGGAAAAAACCCCACACAGAAATATACCCAGACAGAAAAAAGCTCATATGGAAAAATGCTCACTTAGAAATATGCTCACACGGAAAAAAAGCTCACATAGATATATGCTCACATGGAAATAAGCCCACTGTTAAATAAAATACGTAGAAATATCCTTACATTAATCAATCAATAATTAATCGACACCTACTTATCATCGTACACCTACTTAATTTTTAAAAGAAAAATTACTTAATCATTTGGAAAAAATTATTGGACAAATGCTAACATTAACCTTTTCAGGGGCGGTATATAAAAGAATGAAAACTATACTAAAATTTTGCATGCACTAGAATATTTTATACCACTGTCCTGTACAACATTTTTATTCTTGTAAATGCCAATAGTTAGTTTTTTTTTTCTCTATTTTTGCGTGCTTTTGATGTGTATCTACAGGAATTGTTGTTTGAATGTAGTTATTAAGTTTGGAGCCAAAAACGTTTTAGAAGACCACGGTTTCGAAGTGCGGAATCATCATGAAGCAGCTTTCGAAAAACCTTCTAAAACCACAAATCGGTACGAAAGCTTTCATAAAGTACTAAATTCATTATTTAATTGTAGCCATCCCAATGTGTGGTTTTTATTTGACAGACTGGAAAAAGATTTAGCCTGCCAACGTTTATTAATAGCTACTGTAAATACAGGGTGTCCTGAAGTTAAAAAAAAAAACAAAGAAAATATGTAAACTTACATTTGGTAATCGCGGATCATGTAAGAGAAACTATGATGAAATCGATGATAAAATTAGATATTTACATATATTAGATATTTACAAATATTATTTACATAAATTAGATATTACATATATTTACATATATTATATTCAGTAATTTTATGTATTTATAACTTTTTGAAATGTATATTTAATGATTTTAATAAATAAAGTATTTTACGTAATTTTAAATAAGATAATTATTTATATTTACTTATTCTTCTAAAGTTTAGATTATAAAATGTGTAACTGATATTTAATATTATTTTATTTTTTAACAATTAAAATTGTAATATTTTTTCACTGAATATTCTGTTTAATTTTTTTCCTTCCTTCCTTCTCTCCTTTTCATAATCCAAAACGGTCTATTGTTAATCTTGTATACCAACCATATGTATCTACACATATGCGTAGATTAAGTTGACAGTTTTTGATATATATATATAGATATATATATAGATGTATACTATAGATGTTTTAGTAATTTAAATGATTTTTCTTTGAAAAATTCACGTAGGTGTACGATGTTCAAATCGATTAATTATTGATTGATTAATGTAAGAATACTTCTACCGATTTTATTTACCAATTTGCTTATTTTCATGTGAGCATATATCTATGTGAGCTTTTTTCCGCGTGAGCATATTTCTAAGTGAGCATTTTTCCATGTGAGCTTTTTTCTATGTGGGCATGTTTCTGTAAGGGCTTTTTTCCTGTGAGCATTTATACCTGTGAGCATTATTCTGTGATCATTTTTCCCTGTGGGCTTTTTATCTGTGGGCATTTTTCCGGTCACCGGCTGCTGTTTAAGAAATCTGTACCCTATAATATCTCCGTTTATCAACAATGAAATCATATGAGGGTTTCAAATGAAATCGACTGGTTCACAGTAATATGTGAGTATAAGATATGTTTCCATTAAAAATTAATTGTATATTACGTATTGTACTCGCTATTATACATTACTCGTTATTGTATAATTTTATTGTACATTACGTTATTGTATTGCTATATGCGAAAAAAGGCTTTGCACACAGCGTCACATATATGAGTTTGATATGCTGCAGATGTTGCGCAAAAATAATTAAAAATATTTTAAAACACCTTTGAGACAAAAAAGAGCTTATTTTGCTTTAAAAAATAAAATTATAAGCAATAAATTAGTTTAATGTCTTTTACTTAAGTGATAGGTTTCGCGTATAAGATGGAAATTCCAGAGCACCATGTTATCAGCAAAAATTCTAGAAGATAACGGTTATGCATTTCTAGAAGAGCAAGGAGAGAAAAGTCCGTCTTATATTCATAACGATTCAGTAAATGAGTTAAGATGCAAATTAAAAAAATGCTGGTATATGAAATGCCTAATAGTACTGCAGTTTTGCTAAAATTATGGTTAAGTAATCAAAATATTTAGATAATTAACTAGCATCCTCTTAAGCATAATTTAAGGGGGAAGACGGACCAACTCGGCACTCACTGACTAACTATCAACTTGATGGACTAGGCACGGACTAACAAACTAACTCCGCGTGCCTGCAGGATTTATATAGCTTCTGACTTGTGTTCGAGAACCTTCTGGGCGAAACTGGTAAGAATTCGTTCCGGAAGGTTCTCCATCCGTCTATGACATATCGCCAAATGAGCGATTTCTCACCAAATGTGGCAACCCTGCATTTCCTTGCATTTTTTGGCAGCCCTAAACCTGTCTTGCGGGGAAACTATCGTACCGCATCCGGACATTTCGTAACAATACATTAAAATGTTTTTGTCAGTTATTTGTTTTAGAATATTAACTTTATTTTAGGTTGGATTATAGGTTAAAGTTCTTGTAAATTTTCAAAATGTTATACTCACCGTTATCAAAATACAGGGACTTAAAATCTCTGTTACTTTACTATCCAGTAACATTTGGAAGACAGAACTTTTTTCAACTAGTAAAATGAAGCGGGCGTCCGATTGTATATCTTTCATAAGTTCAGATTAAGTAATTATTAAAATTTTTGCTATTCAAGAAATGTATGAAAACGTACAAAAGTTTATTTTTTATTGAGCCCTATTAATAAGAGTACATTTTTTAATCGAATTATAGTGTCGAGCAAAATTTAGTATGTTATAATAACAATTACGCAAGTAAAAAAACAAAAAAAGTATATAAAAAGTCTATAATAATAAATTAAGAAATAGAACTGAATTTTCAAATGTAATTAAAAAAATATTTATCTAGCATTTTAAACTTAACTTAATAGATCTTAAAAATTAAAATGTTACAGATATTAAAGCTCATCAGTTTTATTAATAATTTAGATACATCATGAAGCTAAGATTCGATCATTGACTGCAGTTTGTTTTGTTTCATATTTAATTCCTGGAAAAGTGGTCGGTTATATGAGTAATTGGTTGCTTTTTCACCATTTGCTTTACATAGTTACTTTACAGTTCGAACATACGAAGTTAATTACCTGGGTGCCTAAATGTTATTTTCAATTTTAAATACGTAAAACCACTGAAATAAATAGTAGCAGAATATGCCTAATTCAAAATTCTTTTATGAATATTTTCTGTATTTTTTTTTCAAATATTTTATAATTTTTACCTTATTTTCATTTTATAATGATTCTAAGTAATGGATGCCTTTTCTTTTCTTCAGTCTATGAAAGTTTTTCTAGATTTCAAGCTCTTTCTATTTAATACACTTAAGCATCTCTAAGATCAATTGCTGTATACAATTTTGATATTTTGTGGAGATGTTTAATATAAAGAAGAGATTTTAATTTATATTTCTGAAAACGTATAGATTATTTTAAAGGTTGTCGCCGTTAGAGGTTTTACCGGAGATAGTAAATTTAGTTTCTTTTTCAACTGCATAAAAAATTGTTCGTATGAATACTGGTGTAAATAGAAATGGTTCCTTGATTAGTTTCATCACTCGAGGGCTGGCGCTGATGACTATAGTGAACTTTCTTATGGTGACCACTTTTGAAAGTAAACAAATATTTCTTAGAACATAAATAAACTCCGGCATTAATCTCCATCTCTTTTAACGCAACCACTTCAACAGATGATTAAAATTATTTAGATCCCAGTATGATTGTCTTACAGAGATTGCACTGCATTTCATTTGTTCAGTTTCACGAATTATGGTATTCACTTTTTTTATGTATTTTATGCTTTTAACATAGTGTCTGGCTTAGAAAGAAATTGTCAATTTGAAACATTGGACTACAGTCTGAATCCGTACAGTAAAGGGTTAATTTTGAAGTAATAGGTAGTATTACAAACTAAAATTATTTTCTACAAAATTACCTGCTTTTTTGATTGAAAACTTTAAGGAAATATAATATTTTGTTTCAAGAATTAGTAGTATAATAAATTTAAAATATTTTTGTTAAAATTATTTATATTTTTGATTTAAAAGCTTCTGAATCTTAATACTTTGTTTAAAAGCATAAGTGATTCCTACTTTTACGAAAATACGGGAAAACTTCACGGTTTCTCCCTTATGTGAGAAGTTAGGAACACGGGGATTGCCGAAATATGAATCTATTCATTTCTTAGCTTACAGGCGAATTTTGATTACCTAAAAAACAATGGTTGACGCACAACACATTCACTTGTATATGCAATTAAAGGTAAGTAACACATTATACATATGTGTAAAGTTACCGTTAAATATGCAAAATGTTATAAAAGGAGTTGAACAAAATAGCTCGTATCGAATTTATGAACTCCGGTTATAAAGGAAAATGGTCGAAATAGCAAACGCTCAAAGCGAGGAATGCTGTAATGAATTTTTTACTGTAAAGGATACAGCTGATGCCACATACATCATTAGGAATCAAGGTACCCTGTAAAGAACATAACAGAATAAGAAAATTGTTTAACAATTTAATATTCCTATAATATAAATATTATCTTTGTGCGAATGGTCATAATTTTTGGTTCCTATATTGATAACTGATTTAGAGTTTTTAGTTATAAATAAAGACTTATGCAGCGCAAGGTTGTAATTAATATTGGCCGGAATTTAATTCTCCCCATCTCCGTCCTCCTGAAATACAGTTTGCTTAGTTTTTTGTTATACCTAGATTTAATACTCAAGGTGATACGGAGTTGGTTCGCGTCTAGTTTTTTGTAAATCAGTGTTTGAATGAGAGAGCTTGAAAATCATTACATCACAATAAATATATATAAAAATAATCCTTTTTACTTATTTAATTAATAAGAGTTAATGTATAACTGTGAAATAATCTATTTTCTACTTGTACTCAAACTGTATAGCAGTGCAACCCCAAAAAGCAATTTCGCGACCCCAATCCCAGCGTCGACCCTTAGTTACATACCTGAGATGGCCAAACTTGATGATAGCAGAAGCCGCATTTTAAAATTCGAAATTTTTGAGAACCGATGTTACATTTTCTATTATTCATTTATAATTTCATTAAAAGTAAGGAAATAAATATTTATTAAAAGAAACGTATGAAATAAATTAATGAGAATTTAGATAATGTAATACGATATAAATATAAATAAGGGCTTTTATTTCTCCTGTTACACGTTCAGAAACGTTAGTCCCTACGATATACAAATTTGAAACTATTGTACGATGCAATCGAACATTCTTTTTTCAAGTATGAAACTGAGCTTTTTTTTTCTAGTTCCCCACCCCCTCCACATTTATAATTGTAGATCGGTTTCAACAAAAATAATCTGAATTCAAGAAAGTTTTGTTTCTATGAAGCACACAAAGGCTAACTGCTTAAGTAAAGGGAAACATTCGTGAAGGATTTTCTAAGAGAAAGCTTCTCATACATTAGCTATTCGAGAAAAGAAAAATTTTCTAAAATAAGCCGTCACTTGTTTCGCGATTTTACATAAAACAATAATATCAATTTTGTATGCTATTAACACGAGGAGGAAAACACTCAAATCAAACCTGAATAATTTATTTAATTCTTTAAATGTAAACTAGATTAACAGTTGCGTCCTGTTTCTACTAAGGAGGGAATATCTGAATCTCCAGATACTACTGATCTTCAAAAAGATTTGAATTTCCAAAACTCGAATCTTATCGTTTTTTAAAATTATCCTAATCTTTCGAATCCTAACATAAAAAATCGCTTAACGTTTTAACTCAAAATTTTGGAAAGATAAAAAGTTAGATTATTGAGCTGGAGGGGCTGGTATCTTTTCAGAATTATTTCGACTCTGTGAGGCAGTCGGGCACTTTGCGACAACTTTGATTCTGAATTGCATACTATTTTGATAACCCTCTGTGTCATTGAAATTACAGCGATGAAAATATTGTTCTATTTGCGGATTCTCGGACGGCCATGAAAACTATTACAGATTATAATAGTGACATTACATCCACTGAGTTTGAAAACAAATTGCTGATTAAATCTTTAAATGAGTCAGGAAGGGATGCTGTCTTGCAATGGATCCCCAATGATAGCGATATTCTTGGCAATGAGAAGGAAGACGCGCTCAGTAAGTAGGGTTATAGTTTTAACCGACTTGAATTACATGTTCCTCTTAGAAACATATAACAGACTTTTAGAGAGCATATTCATAAGGCCAGACTCCGTTATTACAGGGATATTGCAACTGCGAAGAATTGGTACTCATTGAACAAACAAATCTGTGTTTCTTGGCCTACAGCTATTGGTGTGGTTGCTTCAGATTTACGATGCTACATGATTATTTACAGGCTTATCTTTTTAGATTGGGATTTGCAGAATCCCAAGACTGTGTGCTGTTTGCCTCTGCTCCAATGACCGGACAGCATCTTTTTCTTGTAGTGCTCTGCGAGACATTCTTCCATAGGATTTCTTTACGACTCTCCCAACTACAGGGGCAGTTTCCTTTATTTATTGGTCTGCAAGACGCAATATGCTCGAAAGAATCTAAGTGGGCTTAATTAAAAAAATATTGACACTCAGTACTAGCGTTCACTAAAAATTAATGCAGTTTTTTTCAATTTCCGCTGTATCTAAATCCCTAAAGTTCGTACAGTTCGGTCATGGTTATAGAATTTTAAAATGTTTATAAGGTATTTCTCCCTCCTTCCTAGCGTGCCTTCGTGGTGTAGTGCTTCTGCACGCTGGGCCGATATTCCAGAGGTCCGTGCCTCGATTCCCGGCGAAGGCGATTGCTCATTTTTCATCTCTCCTACCTAATGCCTCTACGGTGGCGCCCGAACTAAAAGGGGTGTTGGATGATGATTCTTCTCGCCCAGGATTTGGCGATTGGGTTCCCTAAAAACCCCAGTCGCCCATAGCCCAGCGAAGGTTCTCCGACGAATGCACTCGCATTCACGGTATTATTTTGCAATAGTGACACGGTATTACACTGGTGTGCAAAAATTAAGGACGAGACGGTTTTTTCAATATAACTTTGTACAAAAGCTTTCCAAATCAACACATTTAATACCGTAAGATCCCCAATACGTAAGGACATGAGTAATGTAAGCAACACTTACTAAAAGAGAAATCAGAGGGATAAAAAGAAGCTTTATTGAAAAAGTAGCATGGAGCGCAATGCGACTGAAGGCCGAAACATTCCTGTGATGGGTGTCCAGCAAGAAACATCCGGTCTTTAATAGGGGATATGATCTCCCCTGACTGCTATGCAGGTTTCACAGCGTCTGCTCATGCTGAGAATGAGGGTGTCAGTGAGTTGTTGAGGCATTGCTGCCCATTCGTCTTGCAGCGCCAAACGAAGCTCTGGAATCGTTACTGGTGGTAAGGTACGAGCTGCCAAGCGTCTGCCTAGAAAATCCCATACATGCTCGATGGAAATGAGATACGGAGATCGTGCCGGCCAAGCCATACGTTCAATATCCTCACTCTCTAAGAGCTGTTCGGCAGCTACTGTGCGATGACATGGTGCATTGTCGTCCATGAAAAGGAATGCGCCTCCAAAGCGCCTCGAAAAAGACGCACATATGGAAGAAGAATCTCGTTACAATAACGGGTCCCGTTGACTGAACCTGCATCGAAGATGTGAAGGTCTGTACGACTACCAAGCATGATGGCTCCCCAAACGAGAACACCGCCACCTCCATACCTGTTCCTTTCAATGATGTTCGAGGGATGATTGCGGCTTCCCCGCTCTCTCCAGATGAGTATGCGATGAGAATCACTACTCAGACTGAATCTGCTCTCATCTGTAAAGAGTACTCATCCCCATTCATTGTCTCTCCAATTCCGGTGTTCCCGGCACCACAGAGAACACCTTCTCCGATGGGCAGGCGTTAGAGGTACACACCGTGCAGGGCGTCGTGCAACCAGACCACCACCGTGCAGTCTTCTGGCCACGGTAAAACGCGATATCGGTCGTCCAGTCGCCTGTGTCGTGTGTCTAGCGATTTCTCCAGCTGTCTACCGCCTGTTTCTTCTGGCTTGTAAGGCAATATACCCGTCATCTGCGGGTGTGGTTCCTCGTGGACGACCACTACTAAACCCCCGGATAGCTGTTCCTGTAGTTTGAAATTGTCTCCAAAGTCGTGAAACGATGCTGTGAGCAATTCCGAACTCTGCAGCCACACTTGTCACACTGCGGCCTTCCTCCAGCTTCCCAATGATTCGACCTCGGGTAAAAGCATCCAGATGTCGTCTAACAGATTGATTATTCGCCATTTCTCGCTGAGGCAGCAACTCGGTGTGATTTTATCTGCTATACGGCGTGCAACCTCTTTGCCAGAAATACTGATCTTACACCGACAACATGCTTTATACTACTCAGACACTCCCCCATTACGTCTACCTGCATATCTGCGCATATTTTAGGAGATTAGTAAGGTGATGCTACCGTACATCACCTTACTTAATCTCCTGATTGGTCTTTCTGTCCGCTCTGCCTCTTCGTTCAGCTGATATGCTAATTTTTCGACTTCGTCCTTAATTTTTGCACACCAGTGTATTTTGCAATTCTATTAGGACAAGCGATGCAGGTAGAGATATATCAGATATTTCTTTACGTACTAGATAACATTTTATTTTTACCTCATATTATTTGAGATTTTTTAGGCAGTGCAAGAAATGCTATATCTTAATAAAAAAAAAAAGTATAGTATTTTAAAATGAATACATATAAGTGAAAGTGAAAAATAGTTAAACTTACTTCTGATGAAGCATCACATTCTATGTAATTACCATAAGAGTCTTTAAATCTCAGGTTACCAGCTATGCAGCCTTTAGCGGTTGTCAGCTAGTAGGTATGTTGTGCAATAAAATGTAAAAATGATATTCTTAATTTTTTTCGTGAATTTCTTGCATATATATTTTGATCTAGTTAAGTATTTATAAACTAAATCTAAAAACCTTAACTCAAAATGTACATAACAACAACAGCAGGTTTTATGCAATATATTCTTTTAGCTTTTGAAAAAAATAAAAAGGAATTGGCATAAAAATAAAATGAAAAATATCATGATAAAATTTGCTGCCTGGTTTGATTAACAGATTGCCAAGTTTAAAGTGACTGCATATATTACCTTCAAATAATTTCACTTTGACAGATACATAAATAGTTACCTTACAGCGAATGTTTATCCCACAAAATGTTAACTATTGGTAGTGTATCCGAAATTTAAAGATTTTTGCGTCGCTCTGTTAATCTCTGTCTTAAAATCCAAAAAACTAAAAACTTCTGGCTAACTTATTTGCATTCTTGAGAGGAATACGGAAAGGATAAGTTATAATAAAGACCGAAATCATAATAACAGGCTAATTTAAATAATATCCTTTCAAAGTAATGAATAATATGAGTTATTTCAGTTAAGCAAACTATGATATTTAATCTAAATACTCAGCCTAATATATTTAAATGTTTTCTTGCTTTAGCGTAGTTTCCTGTTAGTAGAATGAATATGTAAGCAGAAATTACATAAGACTACAAATTTGAAGAATAGTGTTTTAACTTTATTATCAAGTTTACACCACTAAAATGCTTCGTAATTTTATCAAGTCAACAAATGCAGAATTACTCATTGTACTTATTTCTTCTTGACTAGTTTAAGTCATGAAATGAATTACTTTCGTTTCGCGTGTTTAAAAGGTAATAAAAATAGTAAAGAAATGAAAAATCTGACTAAAGGAAGTTAAAATGTAAAACAGTTTTAAAAATTTAGATGAATAGAAGTTTTGCTTTTTTAGTTTAGACAAGTCTTAGTGCAAAAATTTATTAACAAAATGCATTTCATTCATTCGGTTATTCAAGTGCTAAGGGATATCAGAAACATTTATGCAATTATATTTATAAAAGCTGTTTTAGTCTGCATTATGACTTACGGTTCGCAAATTCTTTACTATATTTCCATGAATTTACGGAGTAAGTTTTAATTCGCAACTCTCTATGCTTTGGTTATTTCATTAATAATAGCATTTATAGGTTAGTTATGCTCATCTATGTATTAAAAATACTTAACCACATGCAGCTGAATCTTTGGTACGTTCAAAAAACAAGCAATATCATCTAAAATTCTGTCAAGCGTTGCTTGGCTCTTAAATAAAGTTACATCTTCATAATAAAGTTCTCTGCAAAAGAGTAAGTATTATTTTTATAAATCTATGCATTTGAATCTATTCATAAAAAAGGCATTCTTGAGAAAAAAATTTTACGTATGTAAAAGTATTACCTTTTTGTACGATAAGTATTTGTTTTTATCAAATTATATATTTTTGTAAGGACGTGCATAATCCTAACTGAAAATTTAAAAAAAATGTATAAATTAAAGGGATAAAACATTTCTTTGTTAATCATCAGCTTTAAAATAGGAATTTCTCAAAAGGATAATACCGAATCTTGACGATGATCTAGGTCTTGAACCTCCAACTGTTTTCATCACTGGATTTTCTTTCATTTTAATTCCACAGTCAGGTTCATAACTATATATAAAACAAAATTTATTTTAACTTCAAATTTTTTTAAAAAAAAGTCCGAAAGCTTTCAGATTTCATATTACGACCAAAGGGGCGTTTTTTTTTTTTTTTTTTTTTTTTTTTTTTTTTTTTTTTTTTTTTTTTCCCATTTACACATACGTACCCGTTTCGAGAGCATTTGGGCTAACGCCTCTTTGAGCTAAAATATTTAAAAACAGCATATCTTTAAAATTTCCGAAAAAACGTTTCGCGAGCTAGAGATAAAAATATTATTTTCCGTACAGTGTTGCCATTGCTCGCTTTGAAATCGCTGAGTTTGTTAATCAAAAATTCACTAAAGTTTTGCAAAATAAGAAATAGACCAATAGAACAAATTCCAAACTCCGGCTTCCAGGTGTACATATTCGGGTGGAGGACTATATTATTCAAAATTTGATGGCTCTAGGTACCGTTGTTTTTTCACAGTACCAGAAACATACATGCATTCATGCGGAATCTTCATTATTTAATTATTAATTTCTTTAAATATAATACAGGGGGATAATATTTAGTGGCAACAATTTGAAAAATGATACAGTCGCTTATGCAAAAGGATTGGATGCAAAAGGCTGTTTGGAGATTAATAGCTCTTTTGGACTAATAAGTTACGAGTTTTTTTTTTTTAATTTGCCGTAAAATTCAATAACTTCAAAATATGGATAATTTTTTATTCATAAAAATTTATCCACATAATTATTTTATACACCAGTTCATTCAGAAGTCTTATAACAATAAATATATTGTTTATCTTAGTTATAACGCTGGAAAAGGAAATGCTTTGTACAATGTAATTAGAAATTAGCTTGTAGAAAGGAATACTTAAGCAAAGATATATTTTTTAGAATATTATAATAGTATGATGTTTTTAGTTAGTTTTGGCAATTCAGCATACCAGATTTCTAGATATGCGTCCAGTTTTAGCTGTGCTGTTAATACAAGCTGCTAAGAGATATTTTGCGTGCATCCGGGAGAAGATTTATATTTCCTTGAACTTTTGAGTGAAATCCTAGCTTCTGGTTGAATTTATAAATACTTTCCGATTAATGATGGAAGGAAAAATAATAAGCAACTTTCGGCGTGAAATAATTTATTTTTTAAATTTAAAACATTTTATCAAGTGACAAGGCATATTAGAACTAGCATTTTTACATATTTTTAAGCATTTAAATTCCTTAAAGGTAAAACAGGATCGAATAATTTAAAACTTACTTTATGTTTTCCCAGATGTCTCGTTTAGGCAATTTCAGTGTTGTGATTTCGTCATTTTGTGCTTTTTGTAGGTAATTTCGGAATATACCATCGATTTTTTCTAGTAATTGTTTTCTAAAATATAACAGTTATTTTAGTACATTTAATTGAATAGTGAGTATAATAGAAAGAGTAGATATTTTTACCTAGACAAAAGTTTAAATCCTCTTTCGAGTGTATTCATAATTAAAAAAATGTCGCCATAAGCTTCAATTCCTTTACATTTGAAAGGGATATTAAGGGAAAAAGAGAAATAACCTGTTGTACGAGGTACTACTATTTTCAGTATTCCATTCTTGTCCTGAGTTAGAGCACTTATCTTCATTTCCTTTTGCGCTCGACTTCAGTGTTCTCTGGTTAGAAAATAAAATAAGGCTACGTCGCAATTTATCAATACTCATCCAAAAATTCTCATCAGTTGTCCTAAATTCTGTTTTACTTTTCAATTCCATTTAATTAAATCACAAAACAAATATCATGCCACAAAATTTTCGGCGATACGTTATTCAGACAAGCCAATTCTATCTTTTCACTTGAAGCCGTAGATATTTAGCAGACGATAAATAAATGGTGCATTTGTATCGCATTACTATAAAATTAAATGAATAGATATACTAAGAAGTGTGAAAATATGTAATTCTTAATTTATTGCGTATGGAACTGCTATCACATGGATTGAAATTATAATATATAATCAGTTGGAATGCAAAGATTTTATGATAGCCATTGCATGAAGTTATTCTTTTCTGTTAACATTAATGGGCCATACTCAGCAATTTGGTAGCTGAGTTGAAAACAAGTTTATAACGTGAAGATTATTAATTTTAGCAAATGTCAAATAACCGCAGTCGTGTTAAGTTTTGTTACATTACTATTTTCAGTATTTCATTACATTATCTGGGTATTTATCATGTACTATGCAACTTGGTAAGAACTGCCAATATAAGTGATTTAATATTTTTTAAATGACTCTAATGTGGCTAATAGCCAGTCCACAGAATACTACCATTCTATCTGACATAAGTCTTTAGTTTACTTTTCAAATTTTAACTCACATTGCTAAGAAAAATTAATAATTTACAAGTAATAATTGTGCATTTTATAAGCAATACATTTTTTCCGTTTATTAACATATATGATTGATGTTATTTATAATCTATGCAACTGACAATTTTTGTAAAATTTGTCCTTTACTATAATAATTTAAAATGTTTCTAACTTTGTATCGTACTTCCAATCAGAAAAATAGCATAATGTTTTCTCACTAATTCTATTTCTTTTTCTGAGTTAAATTAACATTATTATCTGTAAAGAGTTATTTAAGTCTAAAAATGATTTATCATTGTTTTACTTTTCATTCGAGTCTGTTGTAATTTGGCAAAATGTAATCTTTCAGATTTAACGTGTCTGTTATTGATTAACAAAGTAAGTTATTTAAAAGCGATAAGTACAGTTCTTAGTATTATTTTCACTTTTTAGTCCAATTGATTTAAATGAAAATGCATTGGTTTCATGATATATTTCATTAAAAACGTTCAATATTTTTATAGAATTATTTTATATATATTTTCGCTTTTCAAATATGCAGGAGATATATATAACGTTTCCAAGTTAGTGTAAATGTATATTCATGTAACATTCTATAAAATGTTCCCTCTAATCCACCTGGGCCATCTGTACTAATAACGGTTAGTAATACTAGTAATCATGGTAAACTGTATTAAACATTAACAGAGTCCTTTCAGGTGACCGTTAAAATCTGAACCCTTTTGGATTATCTCTTTTTGTATAGTTTATCCGATGTTAGCATATATTCTAATATTCAAATCTTAATTTAACTTTTGAAATTTTTTAATAATGTAAGATATATATTTATAAGAAACGAACAATAATTTTAATTATTAAATACTAAAATAGAAGGTTTTAGAAGTTTATTATTCAGTATTTGAAGAGGGGTAATCAAACATGTACCTTACATTTCCATTATCCTTTATGCTAGGAAATATGAAATCCATAATTTAAAAATCAAGTTCTTTACTTTGGAAGTTTTACTAATTTTGCACGTCTTCAGACCCTCCTAAAAGACTACTGAAAATAATTTGAACAAAAAGTTAGCAAAAGCTGAAAATTTGTATTAAGTTTCCTCTTACATATGCTATACGTAGAATGGTTCTTGCGAAATAAAAATTTATTTATTACATTATCAGGTTCAATGTTCCGCCTTACTTTTCTTTGGGAACATGCAAAGACCCTGACTCGGAACAGGGAGCTTACTAAAGCTATGTTCAATAAATGTGGAAAGTAGACAAGATACACAGGAAGGGTATACGAAACCCTTTATTTTTCACTCTTTACAATAATTTCCGTACTTCGGAATACAGAGACCAACCACTTGTGGTCTGAACGTAAGAAAAATAAAAATATTTAACTAAACTCTAACTTAACTTTGGAATAATAAACAAGGGCCTACGTGGAAGATTGGCCGTATATTAACAGGAAGCCGTATGTAGTACAGAGAACTGTTAACACTACAATACGTTTAAAATTATCACGAGGATTAAACCTCTGGCCTGGAAGGCAACAACCAGCAACCGAGTAAAACTGCTAAGGCAAGCGGCCTGCTTCGACTAACTCCTCCTCTCTCTCTCTCTCTCGCTTGGCAAAAAGCCACAACTTAAGTACTTGGCGTTCGCCAGACAAATTTGCATAAATAAGTTAAAGCTTTTAATTCTGGCCGGAAGTAGAAAATAAGAAGTGATAGTAAAGATTTAAAATAAAAATAAACGTTAGTAAAACTTAAGATCCTTACAACATTATAAAAGTAGATGTTTTCAATATTTCCATTGTTATATCAAATACCATATTTGATATTATCAAAAGGCTCCGAAGCTGATTTTCCTTTTAATTTCATTTAACTCGTCAAATTGTATGTCAATTTTTTAATTATTCGAAGCTAATATTTCTTTCCTTCCACTTTATTTTTAACTAAATCCTGAAACTGATACATATTTAAAACAAGAAAAACGTAGTGTGGAAGCTGCTATACAAGCGATAAATCGTTTTCTAAATCTTACTGCCATTGCAAAGTATATAAATATTATTTAAGAAAAACCTAGGATTATCAAATGATGGAATTAAAGCATCGGTGCAATGCCCTGTCTAACGGTTTCGGGTAAAATCTAATTTCTTGTAATGGTCAATGCAGAAGCCGCCCTAATCATCTGTCCTAACTTCCATGGATTTCTTCTTTTGTGCTGCTCAAAAAAGAAGATGTACTGTTTCAGTACAACCAAACAGTCTCGAAGATCTATGAAGTGAAACTATCTCTGACTACTGCTTAAGAATATTTGACTGAAATTTCTTTTCCCAGGCTAAAATTAGTGGCAATGAGTATTGTGGAATATGGCGGACATGCTTATTTTAAACTAAAACTTATATAACTACCGCTTTTCTATAAAATGAGGTTTTACAAAATTAATGTCTACAGCCTTCTTTCCACTTACCCATTCATTTCGGCAAAAAGTAATTTCCTATTGATTTGATAATTTTCTAGAATTTTCTTGAACTTTCTGTTTTGAAATGATAAACAGAACTAACAATCAAATTTTCCCGCTGTTCCCGTCAGTTAAATCACTGATAACTTTTATCAAGTTATTCTATTGGTACCTCATTTTTGTAGATCTTGCTTTCATTCAAACATTATTTTGATAATTTTGCACTAGACAAATAGACATAATTGCAATAGACGTAATTCTATCTGATACTAGTGAAATGAAGGGATTTTTATAAAAATTATGCTTTAACACGTTCACTGCCAACCACGAGTTATCTCGTAGGTCGAAGTTTGTGTTTAGGCACCAAGGTTTAGGTTTTTGCTTGTCTTAAACAGCATTCAAAGAAATTAGAACATTTGCTTTTCTTAAAGTAATCCGTTACCATATGCTTAAAATTCCACATAATATACAGGTTTCTACAAAATTTTCCAATAGCTTTACCAGTAATATTTTAAAATCATAACTTTGGTGATTATTTTAAAACCATAACTAATCATAACAATGAGCAAAAACGTTTTATGCAATCTACAAAATCTGCATTCAGTTATTCCCAGTCGTTGATTAAATCTTATGCTATTCTGCAATCGCATTGTGAATTTCAGAATTAATCTGGCAACGATAAAGAAAAATTCCTTCTCGCTATGTTCAATATTCGATAATAAGAAAATTGGATAAAAAATAGCTTGTTTCGAAATTCACAGCAAAAATATCTGGATCAATCATTCAAGGTGACCTCATCCGCTACGATAAGAGGAGAAAGCGTGACAGAATATAACCCAGCTTAATAGTCCTCCATACGATCTCTTTATTAGATCCTATTTGCATGAAGGAACCTAAAACTCAAATATTGTTACTTGCCGCATAATTTTATGACCGTAATTCAAATACCGTTAAGGACTCGTTTCTTTCTTTCGCAAATTCTTATTTGAGAAAGGAAGGCTATTCAAACTAGAACATTATTTTCTTCTGCTTAGAAAGGGGAAGGAAGGAACTTCAAGGACATGCAAAACAAGATGCCTGTACCAGACGTGAAAAAGAATTAGTTTAACGTGGAATTTAATAGGATAATCAAAATTTCGATGCATATCAAAATATTTTGGTTCTTTTTGCTTCAGCAGAAATTATTTCATTTTTGTTTAACTATTCTTGACTTATGCAAGAAGGAATAATTATTAAAATTTCAAGTTCATTTATTTGGCTTTTGTTGATAACATTTCATGCATTAAATATACCATTAAAGGTTCATTAAGGATTTACATTTTCCTCAGCGAAGCTTAATTTGGAAATTTGTTTAAGCACTCGAATGGCATCGTTAAATTTTTGCTGTCGTAGAAAATGTACGTACCTGTGACTAAAAGCAATAAAAACAAATTAATTAATAAAAGCGATTGAATTAAAAGCTCAATGTTTTGTCACTAATGATTTGGTTTTCTTAAAAATGTAAATCTCTGAAACAAAGGTATCTAAGTTAAAAATTTATCTTGATTGCATACACCAGCAAGAATGCATAAAAGCAGAACATCAGAAGAACACTGAAAAAATGGCGCTGATATTTTAGTAAGTAAAAATTTTGAGCATGCCACACAGAACAGACACTACGTAAAACCAAAAAATTTCTTGCAGTTTATTTAAAAATTTCTTAAATTTTTCATTCCATTTGCAAGTATTTGTTATTTATTTAAAAAAAAAAAAAGGATTTTACTTTTTTAACCGTTATTTAGTGTGCTTTTAAAATTAAAAATTTTAAAGGTACTTTTAAAAAATTAAGCAATTCTTACTTTCATTATCATTGTATTATTCATTTCTACGTACGTTGCTATTAAATATAGTAATGCATATAGTAAACACAGCAGTTCTGAGGTTAAGTCTAATAGGCATTTGATTTTCTACTTCTCATACCTCTAACACTGATTGTTATTGGCTAATTTTTAGAATTGTCATATTTTTCTTGAACC